GAGAAGAGGAAGTATGAGAGGCTGCCTTCATTGTTCTGAGCTGATACTTCACCTGTGACTGCCCTGAGCACCTGGCACTCTGTCTTCTCTGCCTGAGCCCGTTTCCTGCTCCCCTGTCTCTGCTTCTGTTCCTGCAAAAGTTCCCTGTCCCTCATCCCAGCCATCAGCTCCTTAAATCCCCCATGAGGACCCATGCACAGGTTAGGTACCTGAGGGAATCTTTTTGGCCCTCACCTGTGATCAGGATATCCAGGAGGTCACTGGAGGCTGACCACTCAGAGGAGATGTTGTGTGCACCATAGCATCTGTATTGGCCTCCAGTAGAGCTGCTCACAGGGCCCAGTGTGAAGTTGGCCAAGGAGAGGCCACTCTGGGTCCACTGTACACCATGGTGGGTGAAGTCAGCTCCTCCCAACTTGTACAGAGCAAATCTGTCATAGTTGATATCAGAGCAACACTGCAGGGTGAGGCTCTTCCCAGGGTCCAGGATCTGGCCTTGGTGAGTCAGCAAGGAGGGCTTCTTGGAGAGGCCTAGCGGGAAGATGACAGGCTAGTGATTGAGGAGCTGGTGTTTACCAAACACTTATGCCCGCCCATCCTGCCCTACACACGTCACTGCTTCTCCCCAGATTGGGGCTCTTGCTCAGCCAACAGGCTCTTCCTGAACAACTCTCTACCCACAACTACCCAATGGGACTGATCAATGGCAAAGGGTTTAGAGTGTGAAAAAATGATTGGTCAATGATGGCGCTGACCCACCTGAGGTGTGTATTTCCAGGGGCTCACTGGGCACTGACCACCAGTGTGGAGCTTGGTTGTAGTAACCATAACATCTGAATGTCCCTCTGTGGTCTGGTGTTACATGATCTATGGAGAACAAGGCTTGCCATTGCCTAATATGGTGTATATACTGTGAGTTCTGAGAGCTGAGGAACTTCTGGTCATTCTTGGTGAGAATGAGTTCACTATATTCATCCTGTGAGACACACTTGAGAGTCATGTTTCCTCCTGAGGTCACCACAGGGCTGGGCAGGGCTGTCAGGCTGGATTTACTGTAGTAGTAGATTCCTAGGAGAAAAGGAGGCAGCCTGTTCCATGGACTCACACAGCCTTAGTGTTCTCCAGGACTAGGCTGTGGGAGGGGAATATTCTTGAGAGCAGAGCCTGGGGCGGAGACCCTGACTGTCCCCTCACCTGTCACCACCAGTTCCAGGATGTCACTGCGCTCTGACCAGCCAGCTGAGCTGTAACAGTAACAGCGATATTGTCCCCCATGTTGCTGTGTCACAGAAGGGATGGAGAACTTGGCCTTGTTCTCAGGCTTCTCTGGGGTCTGTGTGTCCCAGGGTGTTTGGCTTCTCTCTTTTTGCAGAACACATATTTCTGCATGCAGGGTCCCCTGACACCAGATGGTCACAGCACTCCCGGAAGAGACCATAGAGCTTGGCTCAGCCTTGATGGTGGGTTTGTGGAGGGTCCCTGTAAGGAAGTAGGAGAGAAGTAGGTGAGTTTGTCTGAAAGTGGCCAGAGAAATTCACACTAGCAGATGGCACATTTTCCTTTTTAATTTCTTCTTCTCTCATACAATATATCCTGACAGAAAATTCCCAACATCCCCTCTCCCCCAGATTCACTGCTTGTTTGTGTCCCTTCAGAAAAGAGCAGGCCTCCCAGAGATGTTACCTGAACATGACATAATAACATGCAGTAACACTAGGCACACACCATCGTGTTAAG